AGCCGGCGCTCCCTCCCCCAAGCGCCACGCGCCCGGGGCCGGCGCTCACTGTGCGCCATGTGCCCGGGGCCAGCCCAGCCCCGAGCACCTGGCAGGCGCATGCAAATGCCCCCGCGGGCGCCATGGCACCGTGTTGGGGACCACAGCCTTAGAGACTAATAAATATATTATACTGTAAGCTTTTGTGAGTAAAACCCACTTCCCGGCGCTCCCTCCCCCAAGCGCCACGCGCCCGGGGCCGGCGCTCACTGTGCGCCATGTGCCCGGGGCCAGCCCAGCCCCGAGCACCTGGCAGGCGCATGCAAATGCCCCCGCGGGCGCCATGGCACCGTGTTGGGGACCACAGCCTTAGAGACTAATAAATATATTATACTGTAAGCTTTTGTGAGTAAAACCCACTTCATCAGATGAGTTGGAATGGAAATTACAGAATCCAGAGTATATATAACAGCAAAAGCAGTTACCTATCAATTGTAGGACAAGTTCATGATGCTAATTGATTCAGACTGGATGTGTCCCATTCATAGCTTTTAATGTGTAAATGTGAATATCAAAGGCCTTTGATACTTGATATCAAATTATCTTTGACCTGCATTAACCAGTTAATATCTTTATTCAAGGCCAAGTTGAAAGTGTTGAATTTGTAAATGAACTCCAGTTCATCAGTCTCCCTCTGTAATTGGGTGATAAAATTCCTTCATAGAAAAATGGTTAATTTTAAAATCCATTATTGAATGTTCAAAGAGGTTATAATGTTCCCCTACAAGTTTATGTGTGTTACCATTCCTGATGTCTGATTTGTGTCCATTAATCCTTTGTGTCAGATTCTGGAGTCTGTAACTCATCTGATGAAATGGATTTTACGCACTAAAGATGATGGTGTAATATATTTGTTAGTCTCTAAAGTGCCACTGGACTGCTCATTGTTTACAAATGAAGTGGGTCCTTATTGTTTATGGGCAGTGGATATATTAGATGAGATGAAATAGGAACTTTACTTTCGCTGAATCAGTCAGAGTTGTACTAAACTTGATGCTGCACATTATTTTTTACCAGGGCAGAGGGGGAGAGCAGCTCCACGCTCCTGGAAGGGGGTGAGGCCTCTGATGGAAGGGGTGGAGATGGAGGCAGCCAGCCCTACATACTGCCCAGAGTGTGCTTTCCCTTACCCCCACCAGCATCATCCGGAGCATGGTCCACACACACACATACAGCCCTCGGAGTCACCTGGAGCAAGGTGATTTAACAGGCCCAGGACTCTGGCTGTTGCAACTACTGCAGGAGCAGTAGCTGGGAGCCCTGGGCCCCTTTAAATCCCTCTTTGTCCCCTCCTTATTGGTGGGCCCATATTTTATCATGGATATTGGTGGTACCTTTCAAATATCTAAGTGTGATGGGGCGCTTGCCCCACACTGGCACATAAGGGGCTAAAACAACCCCGAGAGAGAGCTAGGGCTAGGATCCAATCAAAAGTGGGTTTGAAGCAGCCAATCAGGGCCTTACTAGGCCCTATAAGAAGAGCTCCTGGACAAGAGGCGCTCACTCTTGCTGTGGAGGGAGAAGGATCTAGCTGCCTGCTATCAGGGATACCTTGGACAGAGCAATGCTGGGAAAAAGCAGGGGGAGCTAGGAGAGCTCAGGCCTAAATAAACTGCAGGCTGAGGTCCAGCAACAAGGGTCCCTTGATGTACCAGGACCAGATGAGCAGCCAGAGCAGGAATAGGCAGCAGGTTCAACCTGTTTGCCAATGATGAAGAGGCCAGTTTAGCTCACAGTTTGCTCCTGAAGGAAGGGGCTAGATGCTGAACTGCAGTGGGTCACTGAGGCAAGATGGGCTTAGAGGTAACGGAGTTCCTCAGGAGGGAAGGAATCCAGACATGGGCACTGACTGGAGGGCAGTACCCTGAGGGATGGGTGCTGTGGTCTGTGAGGAACACAGGTCCTGACAAAGGGTGGAGATTGACAAGAAACAGGCAACAGTGAGCAAGACCACCAGGAGAGGGTGCTCTCAGGCTGGACCCAGCTAATTCCCAGAGTGACCAGCAAGAGACATTTGTGGTGTTGAATCATGAACTGCTACACTGAGGCTGTGTCTAGGCTACATCTCTCTGTCGACAGAGAGCTGTAGATTAGGCATGTTGAAATTGCTAATGAAGCAGGGATTTAAATATCCCGTGCTTCATTAGCATAAACATGGCTGCCGCTTTTTTTCGAAACAGAGCTTTTTTTTAAAAACGGCAGTCTAGATGCTGATCTGTCCAAAATAAACCCTTTTTCAACAGATCCTGTAAGCCTCATTTTTTGAAGAATACAAGATCTGTTGAAAAAGGGTTTATTTTCGACAGATCCGCGTCTAGATTGCTGGTTTTTTGTTGTTGTTTTTTCAAAAAAGATCCGTTTAGAAAAAAAGCATGCCATGTTTATGCTAATAAAGCATGGGATATTTAAATCCCTGTTTCATTAGCAATTTTGACGTGTTTAATTAGGGATGCAGTCTAGACATAGCCTGAGATAGATGAATTAGAATACTTAGTAGGCAAACATGGATAAATTGAGCCTGAGCATACATAATAGTTTACTTTCATGCAGCCCTTACAGTATTTGAGGACATGCCGTTGTTGTCCAAGTATGGCGCGTATTATTTCTTATGGTATTATGCTGCGATCCCATAAGACAGCTTCCAGGAACTTCCACTTGACAAGAGTGAAATAAAATACCATAGAGGTGAATTCGGGAAGGGGCAGGTTGAGGTGCATCTCCAATAATGACCAACCAATAAAACATTTTTTCAGGAATTATGCCTGCCCCGTGTTCAGGAGGGAAAGGAGGGAAGTCTCCTTGACTCTGTCCACTCTCCCCCGCCCCCCACAACCATTATTCTCTTATGAGAGCCAGTTGCTACTTAATATGGACGCCAACATTTTCAAACTTGGGTGCCTAAAATTAGACTTTTAAATCCATATTACATGTCTAGATAAGTGACGTGATTTGTCAAAAGTGATGGTAGTCCAGCAATTGCCACTGACGTCAGTTAGATTTGTGAAAATGAGGCTCCTTATTTCTAAGGTTTCTAACTTAGGTTTCTAACTATGGACATAGAAGCATAACTTCAAGCAGCCATTTTTTAAATTTTTCACTTGAATGTTCATGGAGCAGTAAAGTGCAAATTATATTATGTGAACCTTGCCAGTGTGACCTGTGAAAGTGTGCAGGAATGTACTGTAAAACATGCTATTGCATATCTCACAATTTAGTAGTTCAGATGAAATATAAACATAAGACATTGGTGCCTCACAATACATAATAGTTTGGTTGTTATTTCACTGTGGTAATTCAACATCCCAATTGTTTTCTTTCTGGCTGTAGTTACGAGGGGACTGGAAGATCCTCCAAAGAGCCTTTAAGAAGCTGGATATTGACAGCAATGGCTACCTTTCCTTGCCAGAATTCAGATCTGTTCTGAAGCTCTGTAACCTTCTGCTAGATGAGGATGAGGTCTACCACATTCTGTCTAAATTTGATCCCAATATGGATGGGCGAATTGATTACAAGTCCTTTTTGGAAGAAACTTGCAAAAAAGGTCAATGACCTACAGCCAAAAAATGTACTGCTAACCCACAATAAAATAGTGTAGAATATTCTTGTGAATAAAAGAAGAATGGCATCTGCATTAGCTGTTTATCTTTCCAGCTAAGTAATTTGCTTCTCCTTGGTCTGTGCATCTCTGCTTTGTGTCTATTGGCTACTCATGAGTTGCCCACTGTATTGCCAGTTGCTTTGTAGGGGAATAATAATTCTGAGAGCAGAGTGTGAACTGAGTATAAAACAACACACTATATTTTAAATGTAATTCAAGCTGTTGCTAAGGAAACTAACATTCTTAAATGCAGAGGTAAGGATGCAGCTTAGAGAAATGCTAACATTTAAAAAAATAAAACTTTCAGTGAAATTACCTGGTGGATTTTTGCAATTTAGGATGCAATAGCAATGGGAAACAGCCCTTTGACTTTATTGGGAGTTGAGTTCATCAAGTCCTTTGTGTGAAACTGGAATTTGGCCTTTAATATAAACATACATTGCCATGCTTAGTTGGCTTTTCTTTTTCTTACAAAAGTATTTCTCCATAGAATACAACAGAGGGCCCAATTCTGCAGCAGCTCTGCACATGACTTTACTAAATAGTCAGTGCTCAAAGTACTTGTATGTTTAAACCCAAATTATTTGGGTTTTTTTTGTAGTACAATTACATTTTAATAAATGTTTATGCATATAGCTGCTTGGTTAAATAAATATCTGTACTCACTTAAATGTGTCATTTGTCTGCTCAGTACATAGGACCAAATTCACTGCTGGTGTAATTCTTATATCTATTATAGATATAGTTCCACTAATTTCAGCTAAGCTTTGCTGATTTACTTAAGCTGAGAATCTCACCAGTCATGTCTATGCAAAGGTATTGCTGGGAGTGAACAGTCCTTTTTGGTTTGCTTTGAACATATTCTTCCCCTGCAACTTCTCACTTGAAATCCATCATAAGTAAAAATTATGTGTTGACTTTGATGGCTTTGCAGGATTCTTGCTGTCTATTTATTTTGGGAATCATACAAGAAAAGATTAATTCCTGCTCTGGCTCCTTTTCCAAATTCTTTCCCCTGCTTGCAGTCTCATAGTGTACAATATTCACGGAGTTTTAAGTAGGAACACTTCTGTGAATCTGTCTTTAAAAAAATAGAAGAAAGTGTATTATATAGTGAAAAGGTAATGGTACAAAAAAAGCTATTTTAATGCCATGGTTTTACAATGATTTACAATAATTAGAATAAATTGATTGCCAAAATAGTCCAATAGATAATTCTATTACATGTAATATATGCATTAGAGAGGTTTTCTGAAGAGTATCAAAAATGGTTTTCCTTTGTTAAATACAGTTCTACTTGTAACATGGCTCTGTTAAAAAGTTTTGTCCATGTTTGTTGTCTCACTGAGCATTGGTTTATTTTTCTCAGTTTACAATTTGAAAGAAAAGCTGTATTTTTTAAACAGATTCCAGTTCAGAAAATGCATGCTGAGATCTCAGAGTCAAAACTGGTCCTTTCCTTCTCAAAATTTCTGTAGGTCAAACCTACCCTCAGCTATGCTGGTTGTGTCCAATAAAAATACACTATCTAGGGGTATGTCTACACTACCCCGCTAGTTCGAACTAGCGGGGTAATGTAGGCATACCGCACTTGCAAATGAAGCCCGGGATTTGAATTTCCCGGGCTTCATTTGCACAAATTTTTTACTCCTGTTCACATTGCAGTCATCACAACTTCAGAGGAATGAGTTAGTTTCTATTCCTAATCACACCAGGGCCAAAACCTACTCATTTATAGATTTATTTAAATCTACTCAGTGCAATCCCACTTAGTCAATTAGGGTATGTCTACACTACCCCGCTAGTTCGAACTAGCGGGGTAGTGTAGACATACCCTAATTGACTAAGTGGGATTGCACTGAGTAGATTTAAATAAATCTATAAATGAGTAGGTTTTGGCCCTGGTGTGATTAGGAATAGAAACTAACTCATTCCTCTGAAGTTGTGATGACTGCAATGTGAACAGGAGTAAAAAATAGTTTAAAAGAATTATGTTGACAGTAAAGAGAGCAGATGTAACACTGATTACACACCATGGAGCAGATCATGGCTCTATTGAAGTCAATGGAAGTTTAGTGATGGAGCTGTGACAATTTACACCAGCTGAGTTAGACCCTTCACCCATCAGTGAAGCACCCTGCAGGAAGGTGCCTGCTTTTCTGTACCTATCGTGAATTAGAACTTCACAGTAAGCTCTTACAGTAATGAAGATTCCTCTCAACTTTTCACTGAATAAGCAAAATATACATATTTCTGTTAACAAAAACATTTATTGTTAATCTAACTGCACTAATCTTAATAGAGGTGATGAAATAAGAGATGAAGGATTTTGTATTGCTGTAACTTCAAATTTAGCATTACAGGGTTTACTTTTAGGATGAACCTCGCTTTGACATTTTCAGTCTCAGTCACATTGAACTTTCCAAATAAAAGTCTCTCTCTCTTTTTTTTAACATATAAATCTTCAGTTTTATCTGCTTGCTATTGTTCTTTCAATCCTTTCATTATATGCCACACTAAGGTATAAAGTGCGGCATGTAGGTCAACATGTGCTAGTACATTTTGCCATTGTTACATGCTGTCTAATAAAAAGGGTCAGGTGTGTTGTTCCGAGATAGACTTAGGTCTTCTTGTTCTGTAAGGTAAGTGAACAGAGATGGACAAGCTGAATCTGGACACTGTAAAATCAGGTTATGAAGCAGCTATCCTCTGACTAGGAGAGTTGCCTGTCAAGAAGTCTTGTTGGGATTTGTCCTGCTTTGTGCAGGGGCTGGACTTGATGACCTCCTGAGGTCTCTTCCAGCTCTATGGTTCTATGACTGTCACCAGCAGCCTGCCTTCTGGAAGAGAACATACCATAAGAAGTGTCATACTGGGTCAGACCAAAGATCCAACTAGACCAGGGGTGGGCAAGAGGCAGTTAGCGGGCCTCTAACTAACTAAGCCAGCCCACAGCCACTTCACCGGCACCCTTACTACACAGTAGCTGCCACTTTAAAGTCTGCCTCTGCATGGTCTGGATGCTGGGAAGGGAGGAGAGAGGCTTCACTAGCAAAATCCCTTAGCTCCCCTTGGCCAGCTTCCAGCCAATAGGAGCTGAGAAATTTTGATGGAGGCAGAGGCAGCAAGCAAAGCCTCCTCCTCCCTCATTTACCATTCTTATGCTGGAGCAAAGCCATGTGGAGCAGCCAGCCCATAAGATAGGCATGGAGCCTGTTTCAGGTTCCTGCAGGGCTGTTAGCTGGGAGCCACCTAGGTAAGTGCTTCTCAGCCAAATCCTGCCTCTGGCACCCAACTTCCTCTTTCCCGCAACTTTCTGCCCAGGTCACCACCTAAACCTTCTGCACCCCCTTTTCCCACTTCCAGTCACAACTCCCTCCCAGACCCTGCACTCTCTCCTACACCCCTCCCCCAGGCCAGAATCCTCTCCTGCACCCATACCCTTCCCTGATCCTGCACTCCATTCACTTGCCCCAACTCATCACCCAAACCCTCTGTACTCCTTTTCCCAGGTCACAACTCCCTCCCAGACCCTGCACCTCCTCCTATACCCCTTTTCTAGGCCAGAATCCTCTCCTGCCCCCATATGCCCTCCTGGACCCTGCGCCCCAAACCCCTGCCCATGATCATAACTCCTTCCTTCATCCAAACTCCCTCTCAGACCCCACACCCTCTCCTGCATCCCAATCCTTGAGCCCAAGCTCTTTTCTATACCCTCCCTCCCGCCATCCTAGACCTGCACCCCCTCCATAGAAGTGCAGGCCTTGACCACTTACCCAAGTGTTGGAGTGCCCCTCCATTAAAAATTATTGTCCACTGAGGATCTAGACCAGTATCCTGTCTTCCAACAGTGGCCAATGCCAGGTGCCCAAGAGAGAATGAATAGAATAGGTAATTATCACGTGATCCATTCCTTATCACTCATTCCCAGCTTCTGACAAAGAGAGGCTAGACACACCATAGTTTCCCATTCTGGCTAATTGACATTGATAGGCCTATCATCCATGAACTTATCTAGGGTTTTTTTTTTAATCCTGTTATAATCTTGGCCTTCACAACATCCTCTGGCAAAGAATTCCATGGATTGACTGTGCTTTGTATGAACAAATATTTGCTTTTGTTTGTTTTAAACCTGCTACCTATTAATTTCATTTGGTCCAGGCTGGACAGATTTTTAGTCTGTCTGAGAACCTGGGAAAGCCAAGGCAACTTCTACCCTAAGAATCTGCCAACTTATTTATCACTCGGTAAGTATCTGATAATTTATATCTTACCTATTTAGTGTGTTATGCTCAGTTTGCAGTTTTTGTTTACTACAGTAATTGGCTTTGATCTGTTTACTGAGCCCTTATAATCACTTAAAATTTATCTTCTGTAGTTAATAAAATGACTTGTTTATAACATAACCCCAGTTTGTGCAATTTACCGTATTTTCCGGCGTATAAGGCGACTGGGTGTATAAGACGACCCCCTAATTTTCCAGTTAAAACATAGGTTTTGGCCTATACTCGCCGTATCAGACTACCCCCCCTTCCAAGGCAACACCATTTAATAACATCAGTACTGTAGCTTCGGCTAAATACAGAACGTCCCTGTGCTGATACTGTATGTACCGCGCTGAGCCAATCCCGGCAAGCGGTGTATTCTATTAATGCATACAAAGCCTGCTCGGATTGGCAAAGGTTGTAATAGCCCGCCTCTCTGACTCAGCCAATCTGAGCAGGCTTTGTATGCATTAATAGATGACATCGCTTGCCGTGATTGGCTCAGCGCGGTACATACAGTATCAGCACAGGGACGTTCTGTATAGGGGGGTAGTCTTATACGGCGAGTATAGGCCAAAACCTATGTTTTACCTGGAAAATTAGGGGGTCGTCTTATACGCCCAGTCGCCTTATACACCAGAAAATACAGTACTTTTGAAAATTCCACGCGTAGGCATTTACAATTTGGTTGAACTCATTAAGGGGGTGTTTTTGCCCAAGCAGAGACTCCTGTTAAAGTAAGACCTAGGCCCTGGTGTCCAACCAGTTCTGAAGCTATAGCAAACTAGGGAGATGGCTAGAAGATGTGCATTCCTATCTTCACATTGAGGGAGAGGGCAAAATTTTATGAGCTTGCACTGGGCAGATCTTTCTATACAGCACAAGACAGTATCATTTTGGATTTGTCCCCCAAAAGGGGTGTGCATATTAGAGATGTTAAAGATTAGTTGATTATCGGATAAGCATTTGCTTCTATAATATAGAGGCAGCAAATGGGGTGAAGGGGTACTTCAGAGTGGCAGCCCAACACAGCTGTGCTGCCACGTTGAACCCCAAGGTGGCATTTCAAAGAGGCAGCCACTGCACAGCTGATCCGGAGATCGACTATGTGGTGGCTGCTCCTTTAAAACATTGCCTCTGAGTGTTTCAAAGGGGCAGCCATGGAGCCATAGATCAGCTGGGGATTCCCCAGCTGATCCTGGGGCTCTGCACAGCATTTTTCCAAAACCAAGGGTCAGCGGAGGAGTCCCTAGCTGACTCCGGATTCCACTGCCACGCAGAGCCCAGGATCAGCTATGCGGTGACTGCCCCTTCAAAACACCGCCTCTAGTATTTCAAAGGGGCAGCTGCATGGAGTCCAGGATCAGCTGGGGACTGCCCAGCTGATCCCTGTCTCCCCACAGCATTTCCCCAGAACCCAGGATCAGCTGGGGAGTCTCAGCTGCTGACTTGGGCTGGCCATTTGTGAAAGATATAATCCAGCTCCCATGTGTTTCAATGTACTCTATAGGAAAATGCACCCATGTTCCTCAAAGCAGTACTCAGAAATGTCCAAAGCCTCCCCACTTAGCATGAAGATATCCAGAACCAAAGATGAAAATTACTGGAGAAGGGACCAAATATATTCATACCTCAGCAGAGAAATATGTGAACTATGATGTCATTGCCAAACACCATGGGGGAGAGAGATGTGTAGAACAGCAATTACCATCAATTGTGTGATAATTTCCTGTTACAAGGAAGGGCACTATGCCTGTTTCCATGTGTGTGGAGTCAGTAATTTGCTCTCACTCTCTCTGCAATGTCTAGCATCATCTCAGGAGATCACAATATAGTACCTGCTTCTGAATGTATAAAATAGATAGTGCTATGTTGTTGTATTGGTGTCAGTTGATAGGTGATCCTTCAAGAACATTTGCTCTTAAGAAGGGTAATGTGTCTTGTGGCTATGGCATTGGAGTGAGACTCAGAAGATATGAGTTCAATTTTGTTTTTTGGTTGTTTTTTTTTACAAACTTTCTGAGGACTTTCTGCAAGTCATTCAATCTCTTATTGGCTCAGTTTGCTCATATGCTGCAGACAGCACTTCCCTGGTTCCTAGGGGATTGTGTGTTTGTAAAGTGGTAGGGCTATTTACTAACTTAAATAGAGACATCAGTCATGTCATTAGAGGACCTACTGCTGCTTGGTCTTCCAGAGGCAGCCTAAGTGGAGAGATGGCAAGGCGCTCTGGGTGACTGTGGCTGAAGGAATGTGTCTGGGACTGTGTTTGTAGGTGTGCCAGGGGGACTGCATGTCCTTGTGTTCTGGGAAATGGGTGGGTGGCATCTGGATGCGTTTGTTGGGACATCATTGTGTGTAACGTTGGTATGTGTCTCGGTGGCATCTCGGTATGTCATGGGAATGCGTGTGTCTGCTTGCCCCTGTGTATCTCAGGCGTGTGTCCGTGTGTGGGTTATGGGATGCCTCTGCGTGTGCTGCCGGAGTGTGTGTCTCCTTGTGGCCTCTCTCCCTGTGCCAATGGAGTGTGTATGCCAGTCTGGTGCAGCTTGTTTAACGCAGCAGGAGGCATTTAACAGCCCTGCCTTGTAACTCCTAGGAAATGCGCAGCGCACACGGAGCGTATCTTCGCGCGGGTCTCTGAAGCCGCTCCCCACAAAGCCCCGGGTCTGGCGGCACACTCGAGCCGGAGCTGGCCGGACTCCCCCGTAGCTGGTTCCTGTCACCTCGGCCCGGAGAGGGAATCGGTTGCTCGCACCAGCTTGCGGCAGCCACCCCGCCTGCCCTGCCGTGCGCCCGCCCTGTGCTCGCCCGCGCTCTTTGCCCAGGGTCTCCCCAGGGATTCCGCCCGGCGCATCCTCTCCCGCGGCTCCCCAGCCCCGCTCGCAGCTGCCACGGGCCCGGCGGCTCCTCCCCGCGGGCTGGCAGGGGCGCGTAGGGAGCCTCTGGGGGCGGGAACGCGGGGCTCTGGCGCGAAAGGACCAGTGACCTCTGTGGTGAGGAGGCTGCAGGGCGCTGAGGCCAGGCGGCCGGGACAGCTCCTCCACCGGCCGAGTCCCGCGGACCGAGCCCCAGCTCCCCCGCAAGGCGCTTTGTTCCCCACTTCTATGGAGAGCTCCTTTGATTTCATGGCGCTGATTATTTTTATTCCTGCCCACTCAAGGATGAAGCCCAAGAAACAAGAGATTGTCCCTTTCAGCGGCTCCACAATGGGTCACCTCCAGCGCACACCGCCCGCCAGGAGCTCTGCTTGGGGCTGAGGGGGCTCGCTTGGAAAGCGGACAACTTACTCCCAGGGAGCGCGCGGGGAACCAGGGGCCCTGGAGCTCGGCATAGTGGGCGAGGGCAAAACAGGTTTAGCCCGCAGGCTGGCTCGAGGCACGGCCCTCCGAGGGGCGAGCTGCCATGATTCATCTTCTGGGAAGTCAAACCAGCCCAGCCCCGACTGCTGGCCAAGACTGGGGAATAGGGGAGAGGTTTCAGAGACCGATAGACACGAGGGAGGAGGGAAGCGGGGGAGACTTTTATCCCAAAGTCATTGGCAATCCAAAGCAGGATTTATCCTCCACCGATAAATGAAAACGAGGAGAACAAAACAAAACAAAAATCGAGAATAGCAACATTCAAGTTACAAAGACTGTCATGGACCAGTGCAAGTTTGCAAAATTATATGTAAATGACCAAAGTTTTGACCGTGGTGGCCCGGTGCTAATCCCAGAGAGAAAATCTACTTAGCAAAGGAAAGTTTTTGTCTAATTTGGTTAACAGTGACCAAAATGCTGCATATATTAATAATTTATATGTCCAGGGTAACACTATATCTTTAATGCTTCAGTGCAAAAGGGGATTCAGAATGGCTTAATGCTCACAGAATAAAAATCGTGAAAGACTTGCTTCATTTTCTGCATCAAGCGCTGGTGAAAATGAGTGTAAGACATGTGTTTTCATAATAGGCACCAGCCATTCTTCTGCTGCTGAATACATTTGATTTATCCCATATTGCCCTACGTCTATTTAACAAGAGGTATTTTCCTGCTCTCCTCGCTTGGATTTAAGGTCCTAAATGTATCCTGGTGAAATAGCTTTTTTCCTCCTCCCGTTACCCTGCAATACGACCTCTTTCTTGTCGATCTGAAACACCAGCCTTTTCTGTATTTACAGTTTAAATGGGAGGTACACATTACACGTTTTACTCATTGTAATGAAGATCTTTTTGTCTGTCTGTGAATAAAGGAGCTGATGGTTTACAAATTGTGGGTCAGCCCATTCCATGACCTCAGTAAACAATCCGGGTCAGATCTCCTTCAAGGCTGCAACGTGCAATGGAATAAGTTAATTTACCCTTTCTCAACTGATCGGGGAGTGCAAACTACAAGCAAAAATACTAACCACATCTGGAATCATATGTAAGAAAGAAAAATTCTCTTATAGCACAGATGAGGTTGGTTGGATGTAGGAAAATTTCAACTGCTGACCTAAGAGCGCAAAAGGAAGGCATAGCTGGGGAAATGAATATTAGCCTATTGTTTGCCTGAATACAAATGTTGCTTTTCTAGACACATTAAACCCATAGATTTGTTCCTTATACTGAGAGACTTGTTTGCTTCTTCACGCCTTCTGCTTCTCGTTTTTTCTGATGCCTCTATAGCTATTTTATTGAAAATCGAGCTCCATGGAACAAGTACCCATCACCGATTAGGAAGTGTAAGTGTTTCTGCCGTGAGACTGAGAGCTGAATTATCTAAAAGCAACTGATATGCCAGGGTTGACCAGAGGACGAGACGCGGTGAAATAGCTGGTTTATTGAAGAATATCATGAGAAAAATCTGCCTTTGGCCACTGTACAAGTCAAAGTCTACGGCCAGTTCTAAACGCCTAGCTCCTGTTTTTTTCTCTGCGCGCATTTTCCCACCTGCCAACCTACTCTCTGTGATCTGACTGCTACAGAGCCTCATCTCACTTTGTTCCTTAGGCCACTTCTCCTCCTGCTATTTTCCTCCCGGGGAGATAAATGACCAGAAGGAAACTCCCGAATAGGGCAGAAGGGAAATCGTGCCGTGCCTTCCTAGTGAAATATTCCTTCACGGGTCAACCAAAAACGCTTCCCTTTTCTTCTGCTCCCCACAGAGTCAGGCAGCCCTGACATCTTGGAAGGAAACGGAGAGGCTGGTTCCTTCCTGCCTCTTCTTTGCCCCTAAGGAATTTTCCGTAACAGCTACTGAACGGGTTTAGTGTGCGGCCTCGGGGCTATCGAACAGTAACTGTAACAAGGTGAGAATAACATGGAGTTACACACAGGGCCATACATTTGCGAGACTCTCCTGTACAGAGCCCATCGGGATCACGTGTACTGCTCAGACACACCCGGCCTCGCGTTATATATAAACACGTGTCGCTACAAACACAGACGCAGAGAACTACTGGGAGACTCATGAGTGTTACCGTATTTTAAAGTGTGCGGTGAGAGGAGGTTTTCGTGCGCACGGAAGCACTGCCGGGTGTTTTCTTCTGGCGCGCCGGGACACCAGGCACCCCGTGTTAGGCAACACATCTAGAGCCAGGGCGCACCATGGGCGCCAGACCCACCGCTTGGAGACACGCGTCTCCCCGACCCTTTACCACTGCCGTTGCCATTGCGTTTATGTTTCCCTCTGGAAAAGACGTGCCCGTGGGAAACCAGACCAAAGAGTTCAGATCACATTTATTCCAAGCTCTGTACGTGGCTTGCGCCAGGCTCAGAAAAACTAAGCGAGCAAGGACAAAGCTAGCAGGTGGGATAAAGAGCGCATCGCAAAAGCACGCCCCGCTGGAACAATCCTTAGCCCCTTTCCCACTGATCATTTACCCGACCCCCCTCCGCAGCAAACTTTGACTTCCCAATCACGTGTATTTACATGTGTACACTACCGCTTGCTGGGTGAATATACGCGTCTGTGGATAATTTACTCTCCTCCCCCCATAAATATGCAGCCCCCAGGCCGAGTCTCTATAGCACGGAAGGGTGCTGGCCATGGGGCAGGCTGAAGGTGCTGGGGTGGGAATGGCCGATCAGGTTGAGATAGTGTCTGTCCAGACCCTGTACTGATGACAGGAAAGTGTTACGTTGCTGCCCGGGGTTGGGGAGGGGCATGGCTGCGTTAGAAAGGTACGGGATGGTGGGGCTTCTGGCAGGACCATGCCAGGAAAAGGGCCCCCCGGACCCCTGCTGAAACACAGACTCATTGGGACTGTGAGCCGGGCACTCCGGAGCCGGGTGAAACTGGTAGGAGAAGTCCGGTTCTGGAAGTGACCCCAGAGAGGTGAAGATGGGTTCGGTGACAAAGCGAGCTTTGGACTGCAGGAAAGCCAGGATCCGAGCATATTTGGTGTCTTTGGTCTCCATCCGTTCCACTGTGGTCAGGTAATGGACTAGATTCTTCATACACTCATGGTATCCATAGTGAAAATAGTTGGCGAACTCAGCTAAAAGCTCTGCTGGAAAGAAATGGAACAGGATAGCGGGTCAGGTCCTAACCTCGCTGCTTGCCCCTCTCATTTCTCGAGACTCTGAGACCTAGACTTGTACCTGTTGAATTTTAACACAGTCCAGGCAAACCAGTACGCCGTTTATTTAATTATCCGCCTGCCCAGTCCTTATCAGTTCTGGTTGTAGCTAATGCAGTTTACATGAAAGGATGGGATGTTCCCGGAGTGGCTGCAGAACCAGCCCGTGCTTGCAGTAAGAACCCCTTACACACATACTCGCCGTGCGCCAAACGTGCAAAGATCGCTATAGGCACCGAGGCGCCGGCAAAAGGTTGTACCTACCCTTTTCTCTGCCACGAGGGAAATCTGCAGAATGCAAGGCTCGCAGGTACTGAACAGTCATTTCCAGGATCTCCGCTTTTTCTAACTTCCCAGAACTCTGAAACACACAGACAAAACCCTCCTAAAACCCCCGGGACAAACCAGAGCCCGGACTACTCTTGCAGCGTTAACCAACCCCCTGGATACTAACTCCGGTGAGGGCAGAAGCGCCAGGGACATTGCAAGGCAAGTCGCTCCTGTGATGACTGCCTGAGTACCTTCCCAGACACACTTCGCCCACGAGAGCCATTCAAACCAAAGAAAATAACTGCAGCTACAAATTTGCAGCCTTAAACATGCAACTAGGTGACACCTCCACGTTGGTCAGGGGGCCATGCATTTGTAAACCCTCTAACGAGCAACTGGAGCATACCTGCTTTGCCAACGCCATTGGCACAGTCTTCCCCAATTCATTAAGGCAGCGATTGATCCGGTCTCTTCTTCTTTTCTCAATCACTTTGTGAGACACTGGAGTCCTCTGTGTAATACATAAAACAAGGTGTTTGAAAGAGGAGCAGAAATCACCCCAAAACGCACAGAGAAATCCCCCATATCCTTTGGTTTCTAATTGTATCCAGAGATATTCACCTTTTTTAAAAAGTTCCTGTAACGTCAGGTATTTGATCTGCCCTTGACTAAGCCACTTGCACATAATTTGCCCTAGATTATTATTATTTTTAAACAGTCTCATTTTCTTCCCAGAAGCGAGCGCTCTTCCAGCCAGCCCTGCTTTACTGCATATAGTAAAACACCTGTCCAGACCTGCCCTCTAGAGCAGCGATTTTGCTGAGGCTCACTCTGAGTATTAACCTCTGGTTTCCAAGCCAAACAGGAGCCCACGCTTTTTGAGAAGCCTATAAATAAACCTCTGGGTCTGTCGCGGCTGAGAAAGCAGCCGGCAGCCCCGGTGCGCAAGGATTAGCTCCAACTTACTTTTCGTTCCTTTAGTTTAGAGGACATCCTGAGGACCCAACTCTGGGGAAAGTCTAGCAGTGAGGAACCTCTGTGTCTCCTCAAGTGTCTCAGGTGGACTGCAGCCCCCTACCCTCCAACCGGCTGCTTATAAAGCGATCATTTCTGGGGGGAGACTCGGTGTATTCATGGCCTGCCTGATTCCCTGGGATTAGGGAGAGCAGTTTGGGGAATGTATGCATTAAAGATCAGTCTTAAAGGAGTAAAAAAATTTTTTTTTTCAGTCAAGGGGGCTAGCAGGGGGCAGATCAGCTTTGTTACTCCACGTGGACCTTCAAAGGACACGTGATCGCCCCCAGAATAACATTTGCATGGCAACAGAACTAAGGGGAGCAGCAAGCAGAGCGCAGTGGCGCGCTAGCAGCGTGTGAACACAAGCTCTCTTCTTTAGTTCCAAGCGCCTGGTCTCTCACACGATCGCCTGTTTACAAATCCCAGGCACCCCCCTCCTCCCCTGTCCAAGCGCTGACTGCATTTTAAAGCCTGTCCAGAGTCATTAAAGTAATTAAGTAAGCCCTTAATAGGCTGTTCCGCCCAGTTCAAGGGAGAGCCCTTGGAGACGGAGTGGCTCCGTTTGTTCTCAGGCTTTTCTCACACGACTTGGTGACACGTCCATCTTTATGAGAGATGGCAGCGAGGGTTTTTGTTTACACCGCTTTATGTGCTGGGACACCCCGGCAGGTGTGGGACTGGGGGCTGGCACACGATCCCCCCTTTTTTCCTCCTCCCCTCTGCAGGCCCAGGGAGGCTCCCGCGAGCCTTTGGCACACGACGGTCCTTTTTGTGTGGTGTGTGTCTGTGTGTTGTTGTTTTACCCCCCTACTCCCCCCTTTGGAGAGGCTCAATTTGTAGCCTATTATCCTATAGGAAAATGTCCCATTGAAAAGTATGAATAGTTTCATTGGGCCTAAATTTTAATAATGCGGGTCAAAGAAAAGAGGGGCAAATAAAGAGGAGATCGCAGCTGGTCTGAGAGTGCATTATTCGGTGTCACCTGCAAGAGGGGTCGCCTACAGACCCCCTATTCATTTGCCTAATTTTGGTCAATTTAACAAACTTCAGGAGAAATTATTGTGGCATTGTTCGGGAGGGTAAAGCTTTCTGATCGAATTAACAGCATGTTTTGATCCGGTAAATGTCATTAAAAAGAAAGAAACAATCGCGTTTAAAGGGCTCTGAGTTAAATGCGCCAAGTGGAGACGCCAAAGCGCACAGCTCACAAAGGGAGCAAGTAACTGCCACAGGGAACTTTTGTACACGCACATTGCTGAAGTTTTTACACAAAAAGGCATTATTTCATACTTGAATACGTTTAATCCAACAATTGTCTATTTTCTGCAAACATATTTTCACAGCATTGTTAACTTTTTTTATGTCCTCTGTTCTGGCAGCCGCGTTTCTCGCCTCGAGAGCGCAGCGGACTCCTTTTCGGGGGGATGGCAGTGTTTGTCCCTGGGGGGGAGAAAGGGAGGATGGGCGAGTTTGGGGAAGTTGATCTCTCTCTTTTTAAAGGGTTTAAGAGGAAAATATCGAAAACACACAAACAGAAGCCCGAGGAAATCAGCTGAAAGGAGGCTGGGAAACCCCCCATCTCCACAGCCTCTGAGCGCGTTTCCATGGCTCTTTCACGGCTCCTTGCCACCTCCCTTGCTTTTTGCATTAGGATTCTTCCCCCGCCGCCCCCCGTAGCCTACTTTACACATGTACTAAATAAACAGCAACTCTAACGTGGATTTTGTCTGTACCCTACAGAAGGAAATAAAAACATCACTTTCACTGAGGAGACGTATGGTAGGGGTTGACCTGACTTCCCCAGTGTTTAGTCCTGCCCACCTGGGAAATGTTGCAGTCCTCAGAGAAACATTATTAAAATACCATTTGTTCCAGTCCTATCAGCTCCAGGACATTTCTTCCAAACACCCACTTCTCTTTATTTACTGTGTTAAGTTATTTTCTCCCTATTTCTTTATAGTTTAAATGAGGAAAACCTGATTTTTCCGTATAAGTAACATGGATAGATTCTTGTCCTTGTAGCTGAGCATGGGTGCCCCCCATGCAATATAGTCAAATATACTTAGTCCAGCGAGCAAACCCAGATTTACATGCAAAAAGTGTAGAACTGTTAAAAAACATAGACGTAATTCTGTAACAGCACCTTTCCAAATGTTTGTATGCCAGACTAGATTCAAACTCAGACACTCCAGTGTGGTGTTCTGTTTGCAGTAGATATTCTTTCAGGACGCTTGTAGGTTTCAGTATATTCAGTCTCATACAATGGGATTAAAAACTAACCGTTATCATCCAAATTAACTAAACTGTGAATAGCAAATGTGAGGGCTTTTTTTCCCTCTTCCTTTTTTCTTTCCTTCGCCAGCGGAGATGGAGTTGATCCTCTTACAGTCGGTGTTAACCACCAGCTGCAGGCATCCGGAGGACAACTTTTTACACCACTAGATTTGTTTTCTTCTTTTCTGTCGCAAATTTGTAGTTCTGCATTTTAGCCCAAATCAATCTAGGATTTTGTCCAGGTTCAATTTGACAGAGAAGGTTGGGAAGGATTAAAATGTTGGGCTGAAAAAGTGGGTATGCTAGTAGTCGGGGTGATGAAGTTGAAGAGCTGAAAATGTTATGGCGTATTAACTCAAACATGTTTGCATTTCGCTTTTCCTTATTATATAATATCTCCGATCACAGACCCGGTTGGAAAATTTCCTTGACCTCTTTTACAATTTCCAATTCCTTCAGAGAAGAGACGGATTTATATTTTAAACTCTTCAAAAACGACACTTTGATTTTCCTAAAGCAAAATTGTGCTCGGTTATCTGACAAGGAAAAACTGGATACCTTTAGTATCCTTTAGAGAGTCGTTCTAGCTCATTTTTAATTACTCTCCTACAATCTGAGACCATTTTTTATTTTGTTGTTATCGCCTTTAGATACTTAATGCGGATGTTGCTTAATCAAAACTTGCATTATACATGCAAACAGTACGAGATTTAAAGCCACAAGCTCAGAGGAATAGATCAAGAAGGGTTTTTCCTATGTCCTTTATTATACTTCTCTCTCCAAATATACAAACTCTCCTTACATATACCCACCATAAAGGGCCCGATCCTGAAGTCAGTGGCCAAACGGCCGTTTACTTTCGTGCTAGCAGAACCCTATATTCCGGGGTCTAGCTAAGTGGGCTAAAGTCAAGGCGGGGCAACCATCCCCAGCTGTTCCTGGGCTCGGTATCTCAGAACCAGGGAAGCAGGGCTCAAGCTGAGGGCGCATTAGTGCCGCTGCTCTGTTACTGCCAGCAAGAGGGGAAAGGACTCGAAGGAGGAAATAACAGTGAGCCCCCAGTTTGCAGAGATGCTGCGGGCCCGATCCGGAGCACGGAGGAACTTGGGGGCGCTCAGCCCCCCGACGACCAAGCTCGCTCTTCCTGACCTTCCCAGGGCGTGGGCTTGGCTTCCGGCTGCTGAGCCCCGCCCCCAACCCACC